TATGGCACGGCTCGAAGCACTGACTGTAACCGGTGGTTGACAGTACTCTACGGTAGGATCAGCGGTCTCCACAAGGAAGGTGTGTTTGACACAAGGGTAGCTTTCGCCAAAGAGGGCGACTTTTGAAGAAAAATTCGCTTGAACATTTTGGCATCAGGTGTTTGACTGCTTGCCAATTAAACTTGGTTTCTTATTAGAGAGATCTTCCCAAAAACCAAGTACTGCCAGTTTTTTGGGTGGATAGGGGGATGCGGGAGATGAGAGCTGCCTTCTGGGTGACATATGGTGCATCTCTTGACAGAATGTCTATGACGGCCTGACCGTCGTAAGCGACGACGCTCACTGCGTGTCTCACGGAGTAAGAACAGGACCGGTGACTTTCTTGTGAATTAGTTTGTAGCGAGGTAGACTCGCGAAGCATCCACCGTACTCTCACCTCCATCACCTTCCTGGCTACGATGGCAAGACAGTGACGATACGAGCCGGGCGGCTGAGGGCACAGTTGCTGGTAAATCTAAATGTCTCGTGCGGGCTTTCCACACACGACCATGTCTCGCAGAATGTACCTGGCTAGACTAGTGGTAAGCCAAAATCTTAAATACGTAAGAGTGCCATTGTGTCAGACTCTCACTTCGCCAGTCCGTCACTCCACATACACATAGCACTGACCCACGGACTGAGTTATCCCGTCAGTTGACAAACCTCCACTACACGACTTTAGCGCGTCATTATAGATTTAAGCGGGTCAAAGCTAATATGGTGAGAAATGCTCCTGTGTACCGTGGGAATGGATTCCTCAGTGTCGGCCTCATTCTCTCTTTCCGCTCATATGCACCATTCGACTGTACGAGCCCATCAGCAAGTGATGGTTGGATTGAACGCAGTTGTTGATTGGGCTAAAACAGCCCATCTGCGTGCACTACACAGGAGATGGTCACAAAGTAATGTATCAGGATACATCAAAGAACATATTTCACAGTTGTACGAGATGTGCAGTTTCTGGCATCTAAAGTTGTACCGGCCATACCGCTGACGGTAAAGCGCTTGATATGTTTGCTGCCGAAAAGAGGTATGACTGTGATGGGATGTGGCCTGCTGTCTAGATGAGGTTCATAAACGACCTAGGGATGTGTGTGCAGGTATGTAGAGCAACGTGTGACGACGGGGCCTATTAAAAGTTGCAAAGTTTAATCGCGTTAATTTGTCTTTTCAAATTTTTGGTAGTCCTAGGTTGCTCCATAGCTGCTTGGAGAAGAAAGTATGCAAAAGGAATCTAATCCCTGTTACCAGGACTGAGGATGGCCTCGAAAGTTCTTCAATTTCAAAATAACTCTGAGCCCGATCTGTCGCTGCCTTTGCTTTTAGGATCTTCAGTCTACTAGTTGTATACTTTCCGTGTAAGGAAAACCGTTCATTCCTCTATGTCATTTAGTAGGTACCCCATGGCACTCATAAAATTTTACAATGGATGCGGATTATATTGTATACTTCGTGAGAAGCATTACTATGGGTCTCAGAAACGCTGTCCTACTTCGTCAGCAAAATATCACTTTCGAACTGTTATCGATTTTGGCAGATGGTCGGCATTTGTGACTTTCGTATTATTATTGTTTTCAGCGGGCGTAGTACCACTTGTGGATACTTTCAATTTGAGGTACTTCGCGGACTGCCGCGATTACTTTTCACAATTACGTTAGGGTTCGAGTTTTCCGGTTAGAATTTAAGGTTTAGGGTTAGGATTTAGGGTGAAGTTTTACGGTCAGGGTTTATGGTCAGAGTTCGGGTCTAAGGTTAGGGTTTAGAGTTCGGGTTTAGGGTTAAGGTTTAAGGTTTATTGTTTGTGTTTATGGCTACGCAGTCATCGGACACCCACTTCGTACAACTTATATCTACGGTTTACATCTGATTGGTACAATCATTGACCGGCTCATTTGCAATGTCCTTGACGGGCCAATCACCTTTGCCTTTCGGGTAATCGGTCCTACCGGTTACTTGCAGTGATTTTTTGTACTGCGCAGTGCTTCCGCGAAGATTTAGTACCCGGTAAAACAGACTAGCATATTTACCTATGATACCTGAGTTTTCTTCTTAGTTTTCGCACAATCTTCACTGTTTTCCAGCAGCCCCATACGTAAAGCTCTTTTACCGCGATTCCCATATTGGACACGCCCGGGTTTCCCCATTTTACAGCAGGACCGCGTTTCCGAGCCTCGCCGCTTTATTAAACAGACAGATGCAACGTTATTTAGCTGGCCATTGCACAGTCTAGAAATCTCTTAATTAAAATCTTTTAAAAACTGGGAGATACTAGTCCTTCGAGTATCAATTTTCGAGAAGACGTGATTTGCTACCAAATGAGTGTATTAAAGATATTTCATACATGTTTTCTGCAACATATCAATCAATGAAAGAATGCCTACTGCCTAAGCAGTCATTTTTACGGAGCGCATTCATTACAGGTGGCCGAAACGAAATGTATGCCGGCGTTCTAAGATATAGCGACATTATGTCGCAAACTGTCAATGTTACAAGTCAACTTAAGTAATCCTTCCTAATTAAATACGCGTTCCACCATTTCGATCAACATATAATGTGATTATTCACTGACTGTATTCAAACTTTAGTGAAGTGCCCTACAGAATGTCTTCTTGTTTTCATTTCACTGAAGCTGTTTAAATCGAATGTTTCATCTTCCACTGTCCCACGCTTTACTAAAGATAGCCTTAGAAAGCTATGGAAATAACTAAGGGGACTATCCATAAGCTCATTAACGTTTCACTTTAGAATAACATAAATATTTACATTAGCTTCAAAAATGAAGCTTGAGCGAGATAGGCTTACGGAGTCTTCAGCTGCTAAATGATGCGAATACTTCCATATCTGCTGTTCAGGTCTTCCGTCTCTGATCGTCTGCTATGTCCCGCGAATCCATTCCGTCTTTACTCTAATGCAACAATGTTGTCATTAACAGTGAGTCAAGCATAGCAGAATTTTTCAATTCAGTCTTTGCTAACTAATTTACCTTTGAAACCGACGCCATCCTCTCAATTCCTTAGTCTTCTTATCCGCTCCGCACTGCCATTAATTTTATCCCTGAAAGTGTCCAGAAACAGATAATCCAGGGCGGTTACCCCCACTTAGCTCGAACTGACAACATCTCGAACTACTTTACTAAAAATCTGAGAAAATATTTTCCTCTGCTGAATAAATTTTCCCAAGTCTTTCTCGAGAATGGTTTCTTTCCTGATTATTGGGAAAATCCTATCATTATTTCAGTATCTAAATCTGGCTGACGTTCTGATGTTTAAAATAATCGGCGTCATCATGGAAATCTCCCTCACTTAAACGTTCAAAAAACAACTGTAATAAAAATTTCTGGTTTTAGCATAACTAACCAAGTTTTTAGCTCATTTCAACATAGCTTTTTGTACGGTCATTTTTGTAAAACGTGTCATATATCTTTTCTGAATCTACTAACTTCTCCTCGTAATGATCATTTATCTGTGGTCGCTATCGGTTTTGAACCCAGTCAAAACTTCAACAGTGTCTTATAAACGATGCCAAGTTAAACTGAGGGCTCTAGGACTTCGCAGTCAACTATGTGACATTATTGATTCTTACCCATCTAATAGGAAACAAAGGATCTAATTCGGATCTTCATTTTTCGATGGAAACCTTATTGTAAGCGGTGTCGTCGGGGGTATCATATAAGGCCCTCTTTTTGGCTGTGCTTGACTTTACTGATATTTCATCGGCAGTTAAACACTCACAGTCCCTTATTGATGCTGATGACCTTAAATACGTATATTCGTTTTTTAAATCTACGATCCAATATTGTCTGAAACAAATCCTTACTCAGTTGCTTGCTCTTTCCGCGTGGAGCTCGACATGACTGACGGAATCCTCTCTCTCCAATAATTCCTATATGTGTTTTGGACCCGAAAGGCTACCCCAACCAGTGGTGTTTCAGGACGAGTCTATAGTTTAGTTTTCCACTATCAGGGATTTAGATTTCAGCTACACCAATGATATATACATCGCCGCACTCTGACACAATCACAGCCAAGGCTGCCCAGATTTGTGGCTTCGTCTCTTACAATTTATACCATCTTGAAGTTGAATTACAACTTTATCGAATGTTTGTTCTTTCCCATTATTGAATATTGTTGTCCATTCTTTGGTTTAACGAACGAGGTTAGTAATTCCAAGATTGAAGATTTTCATAGACATTTAACAGGAATCTCGTATGACGCATCTCAGTGATTTCTACTTCACCAAATGCTCCGCGTGGTCCTTAACTGACATACAACTCTCATTAGCGGTTCCTCCGAAGAGAGACTCTACCTAACGACCAAATACCGGCAACCGACTCGATCAGTTGACAAAACCAGATGAGGATATCTGGCGTTGTGTGCCCCCACACCCCGTAGTGCCGTCCCATTCACCATTCTCCTGGCCAACAACTTATTTCGTCTTCGGACGTGAGAGGAGGCCATTTGGATGCATCCCCGATCGCGGCACAGTCAGCTGCTGAACCACGTTCTCTTGTAGGGGCGACATCAACAAGACGTGCTGGTGACGAAGGTTATCTGAAATATTGAAGGTTGAACAAATCAACCCGTCGTCAACTTTAAGATGAGGCTTCCACTGAAACCGCGCAGGAGACCGCAAGGTAAGCGGCCACCAGGCAAGTTAAACCCGTCTCTGTTGAATTTGTCGGCTCATTGTCTGTATTTCAGAAATTAGTTGTCCCGGCGGCCGGATGACCTATAGACTCCAGAAGACGATACGATCATGGGGACTCGTTTGTACAAACTGCAGGACATTATTCACTCGTCCCCCCCCTAGAAGTTTCGACCGTGAACGTCGTCTACACCAGAAGTAGTTCAGCGCCGACGCGGAAATCAGAAACCTGACTGTCGAAAAACTCCGGCTGCGTAAAGACTACGGTGAACGTCGGGCCGACGCAAACAAATTGGCTGTCTTCCGATGTTGCCGCAATGAATGGGGGAGGTGCAGGACGCCTGGATGGCTCACAGGCTGAGGAGGACCAGGGGTATGCGGACCGCAGTGAACCAAACGACGTCTTCGCACCAATCACGGCGATCTACGGCTCTATAACCAAAGGAGCAGCAACGAATTTCAGCTCCGAAGGGACGATATTGATGACGGAGAAATAGCAGATTTTGAAACACTGGGTTGAACGCTCTTAAAGTGCCCTTAGTCGCCAATCCACAGTCTCTGACACCGTCGTCGACCGGCTTCTTCCAGGGAAAACGGACGACGGCCTGGGCATCCATCTTCCCTCCCAGAAACAGCAAGAGCTGTGCACCAACTCTTCGGCAGAAAAGCACTAGATCCCGATGCGATCCGGGCTGAAATGTACAAGCACAACAGGTCTCGGCCGATCGACAGACTTACAACACCTTTCCAGTGTATGCGGCCTCAAAGAAGAATTCCTCGTGATTTCAAGAAAGCGACAATCGTTCATCTCTACGAGCGGAAATTAAACAGGAAACTCCGCGATAACCACAGACGTATCTCGCTGTTAAACACCACGGGGAATATCTTCGTTCACTTCATCCTCAACCGTCTCGACGGCCTGCTCGAAAAAGGCTTCTGCCGGGAAGCCACTGTGGCTTGCGACGTCAATGCGAAACCACTGACATGATCCCCACCGTCAGCCAGCTGCAAGAGCAATGCCATAGAATGCGCACCCACCTTTACGCTGTCATCATGAACCTGATGAGAGTCGCCGGTACAGTGAATCGCGATGGACTGCGGAAAATCATGCAGAAATTCGGCCGGCTTGAACGATTTGCGCACATGGTGCGTCAGCTCCAAGACGGGATGATGGGGCGCATCACGGACGACAAGACAATCTCAGAAGCACCCGCAGTGACGAATGGGATGAAGCGGGGCTGCATACCCACTCCGACCCTCGTCAGTCTCATGTTTTCTGTCCTGCGGATGGGTGCCTATCGTGGCGAGCTCCCTGGGATCCGTATCGTCTGCAGGACCGACGGCCACCTTTTTTTAGTCGGCACATGCGGGCCTTAAAGCGGTTCACCACGGCCACTCTCCACGATCGCGCACTCAGCATCTCGACAGAAGTAGACATATAACGGAGCATGGACCTCTTCGCCTCCGGCTGTGGCAACTGCGGGCTGACCATCACTGTGGACCAAACAGTGGTCATGCATCAACCGCCACCCAACGCTACATACGGTGTCCCTCAAATTCACTCCAATGACCCAACTGAAGACTATTGACAACTTCGTCTAAATGAACAGAATACTCTCTCGCTGCACTAAAATTGACGGCGAAAGGGTTCACTGTATCTCCAAGGCCAGCCATGGTTTCAACCGGATGCAAAACGCTGTATTGAATCGCCACGGTCTCCAACTTGACACCAAGTGGTAGATATATGAAGCCATAATCTTGAAGACGCTGTTGTATGGCTCGGAGGGCTGGACGGTCTACGAGGAATAAGCGCGGAAACCCTATCATTTCCACCATAGTTGTCTCCGCCGGACATTAAATCTGAGGTGACAGGAGAAGATCCCGGACACAGAAGTCTTGGAACAGATTTGAATGCTCAGCACCCCCGCCATACTGACGCAACTGCCTCTAGGATGATGCGGCAAACTTGAAATGATTGACGACGAGCGCCTACTAAAACGACTCTTCCATGGAGGTATCGCCTCCGGTGTTCGCCGACAAGGAATTAAAATGCCCCGCTAAAAAGACACCTCGAATAATTTCCTGAAGCGATAAAAAATCAACCAGAAAACATGCGACGGACCGCGCACGCACTGGGCGACCTGGAGAAGAGCAGTGAGGACTGGAGCAACCATCTGTGAGGCCAATCAGGTCGCCACTGTCAAATCCAAAAGGTAGACTCACAGGTTCCAGGTGTTCCTGACTCACAACGCCAACCTCAAACCCTTCCCAACATGCCCGTGCTCTCAACGAATATTCCGCCCCCGGATCGGTTTCGTCGGACATTTCTGGGCCCAATGCACCAGCACCTCAATGATCTTAAATGCTGGCGCCCACGACCGTCCCTAATCCAATTCCACGTCGCCGACGAGGACGATCACACTCACCACTGATGCTCAGCATTTCCATGTTCTGCTGCCGTCTTTTGCCGCCTTTTCCATCATCCCTGCCACCACCCCCTAGGCGACAGCGACCATCACCTATCTCACTCCCACCACCGGTCAGAACAATCCCGACGCTCCGTCAATCCCCAACTCCACGTCCAACGATGTAGACTCGGTCCAAAGCTGCCCTCATTGCAGTCGCACACTAACTTTACGCAGCGGCTCGGTCGGTCGCTTGCGATTCCATCACATTGCGACTGGCACACCAGTGCCAGGAGCCCCCACATACTCTTATTGCAGAAGCCTAAGACGAGAGGGAGACCTTCGCTGATACGATCTTCAGACTCAATCCCGAATGGAAAGAGAAGATTGGCGCCAGTTGGGAGGATTGTATATTCTGTGCAGAATAACTGGTGAGGGGATTGGAAGGAGTTGTCAGCCAGAGGAAAGTGCATCCGACTGAGGGAGAGCGACGTCCCTTGGTTGGGTCAGGGAATGCGTCAAAGCATATCAAGCTACGGCACATCTAACTCCGTCTTGAATCTGATTGGCCAAATGAAAAACCGAATGGGCAAACGCCAGACTGCTCGGTGTGCACTTACAGACATTCGCGAGAGGCCCAACATTGCGACAGGCGCGCGGTGTAGGCCCACTTCACCAATACGGTATCCGTCTTCACGTTCCACACTGCCAACGCACATTCATTCACCGGAGGGGTCTGTTCGGTCACGTGCCTATCTACAGCAGCAAAATTCACCACAATGTCGACACACCTGGTGTAACCCTCACTGACTTAACATCTACCAACCTATGCTACCCACGCTGCAACCGCAAATTCGCCTCACGTCTCGGCACGATCGGCCAGTTGCAGATCTATCACGCAGAGACTGGCGAACCAGCGCCTGAAGCATCAAAATACACCAAAAGCCTTCGCATAAGCCTATTCGGTCTCGTGCGCCTAAACGAAAACCTGCGGCCTATCGCCGTAGACATGGCCATATCACCACAAATTTCCCCATCACTACATGCACCACATATGAACACAAACATCCCCCACCATCGGCACATCCCACTTAAAGGGGAAGTGCTCGGTTCGGCTCCTTTCTCCGTGCAGCTCCCCCGCTACAGTTGAGATCCGAGTTGTCCACCCACTTGTGCATGAAATCCTGGTGTGTGTGTGTGTGTGTGCGTGTGTGTGGGGTGTAGGTGTAGGTGTAGGGTGCCGTCTAAACGGGCCACGTGATAGATGCGCTGGACCAACACGGGGGCCACACCGGACTCTGGCAGGCGTTATCTGTGCGCAATAACAAATGCTAACATTTGCGGGGTGCGCTGGAGGACCCTGTTGTCGGCATTCGTCGCTCAACTGGACCACTGCCGCCTCCCCATTGTGCTGTGGTCAAAATCCTGGTCATTTGTGTGCGGACCAGGGGGTGCGGAGTGGAGCGCCAAGGCGAGGATCCGTCCGAGCCATCCACCTGCGGCCTCCCCCGTCTCCGGTCTTCTTGACTCTGTCTTGACACCGGGCTCAGGCGGGGGAGGAGGAGAGAGTGTAGGTAGATGCAGCGCAAGTCTACCCGCACTATAAACCCCTGCGCAAGTCACCGTCCCTGCTCCCACCTGGTGTGGGGCACACGGTGGACATCGTTGAAATCGACGGTCGAACTGTCGGGATGTAGGGGTGTCAGCGGTGGGTTCACGTGATGGTCGTAGTGGTCGCTCACTTGCTTGCAGGTGAGATTACGCCTAGCGTCCACTTGCTGGCTCTCAACTCTCACCTGTGGCTCCACGTAGCTGGGCTCTGCTCAGCGGCCACACCCCGGGCAACCGCCTCGACCGGCGGGCTAAACCAGGTGAGGGTATCCGTGCGTGCACCTGCACACGCGGTACTGTGGTCTGCGCTGGCCGGATGGATCTTCGCGTCGACATCGTCGAGACGAGGCTCTGCCTGGACCATCGCAGGAGGCCACAAGGTAAGTTCTTCTTCAGGTAAGTGCATTTGCTTTGTTTCTTCCTTTTGTTTGTTGAAGTTCCGTGTCGTACGCTGCTCTTGCTGCCTGCCATTTATATGCTAGTCTGTCTGTTAATAGCTAAACGACACCCTCGATGCCTGCTGCGATTGTCTGTCCGTCAGTCTATGCCACTCTCTACTAATAGCTAGGTGCTACGGTGTTTGACTTTGTGTGGTGCCCTCACTTTTGTTTCTGACTGATGACTGTGTCCGCTTGTCCACTCTAGTTCTAAGTCCCATAACGTTAGGTAGTGTGTATGCTCTCTCCTACTTCACTCCAACACATCATCACTACCACCAAGGTCCCAGGCTCATTCGGGTCGTTCTCTCACTAACAAAAAGTCGTGGCCCATAGTGGAGTCCGGCAGCCGTCTGGGATAACCGGGCAGCCCTGTTCAGGGATGCGTTGCCTGCCCCCGCGAGGGGGAGGGGGCTAGAAAAGGTGCCCTTAAGATCGCTGGGAACCACGCTGTCTGTAGGCTGGCCGTGGCCGCAGACAAAAAACACACGGTCGAAACAGCCAAAACGGAAACAACAACAACAACAACAACAACAACAATCACTCTCTTCCTCTTCCAGCCTATCCTTCTTCTCCTTCTTCTTCTTCTTCTTCTTCTTCTTCTTCTTCTTCTTCTTCTTCTTCTTCCTCTTCTTCTTCTTCTTCTTCTTCTTCTTCTTCTTCTTCTCCTACTCCTACTTTTCGCCGCCGCAGTCGCCAGGCTGGCAGGGGGAGCCCGCTCACTCTGGCAGCCTGGAATGTTCGTTCCCTTTTAGACAATCCGAGGAGCAACCGACCGGAACGGAGGACGGCGCTAGTGGCACGAGAACTGGCGCGCTACAAGGTGGACATCGCCGCACTCAGCGAGACCCGATTCTCCGAACAAGGCCAACTGGAGGAGGTGGGTGCCGGCTACACCTTCTTCTGGAGTGGTCGACCCAGGACAGAGCGATGTGACGCGGGTGTCGCCTTTGCCATCCGGACCGACATCGTGGGACGACTGCCCTGTTTGCCGCAGGGCATCAACGATCGCCTGATGAGTCTCCGCCTGCCTCTCCAGCGAGGAGGCAAATTCGCCACCATCATCAGCGCATACGCTCCGCCGATGAGCAGCCCCGACGCCGCCGCTAGAGACAAATTCTACGAGGACCTGCACGCCCTCTTGGCGACTGTGTCAAAGGCGGACAAGTTGATTGTCTTTGGCGACTTCAACGCTCGCGTCGGCACCGACCATACTGCCTGGAGAGGAGTGCTGGGTCCCCACGGTCTCCACGGCTCCAACGAAAACGGCCTGCTTCTCCTCCGCACCTGCGCAGAACACCGCCTAATCCTGACAAACACGTTCTTCTGTCTGCCGGAGCGAGAGAAGGCCACCTGGAGGCATCCTCGTTCGCGTCAGTGGCACCTGCTGGACTATGTCCTCGTCCGGAGGCGAGACCAGCGGGACGTGCTGGTGACGAAGGCGATCGCGGGTGCTGACGGGTGGACCGACCATCGCCTCGTCGTCTCGAAGATGCGTATTCGCCTACAGCCTCGCAGGCGACCACAAGGTAAGCGACCCCCAGGTAGGCTGAATATTGCCTTGTTGTCTTTGCCCGCTCACCATCTCCATTTCAGCAATGAGCTAGCTCAACGGCTAGACAACCTTCCTATTGCTGCCGACGCCGACGCCGCCGACGCCGCCTCCGCCGCCGCCGCTGCCGAGAACGCCTCCGTGGAGAACCGCTGGTGTCACGACACGATCCAGTTGACGGCGCTCGCCATCATCGGTCGCGCTCCCCGCCAACACCAGGACTGGTTCGACGACAACGACGCCGCCATCAGAAGTCTGCTTGCCGAGAAGAACCGCCTACACAAAGCCTACGTAGAACATCCCACTGATGCCAACAAAGCTGTCTTCTACCGCAGTCGCCGCCACCTTCAGCAACGACTGCGCGATATGCAGGACGCCTGGACTGCTCGCAAAGTTAAAGAGATTCAAGGATACGCGGACAGCAATGAATGGGAGTACTTCTTCTCTGCGATCAAAGCTGTCTACGGTCGGCCGACGAAGGGCACTGCTCCTCTCCTCAGCGCTGACGGTAGCACTTTCCTGACTGAGAAGACGCAAATCCTACAACGATGGGCCGAGCATTTCCTAACCGTCCTCAACCGCCCCTCCGTCATCTACGACGCCGCCATCGAGCGTTTGCCGCAAGTGGAGACCAACGTGGACCTCGACCTCCCGCCATCTCTCCAAGAAACCATCAGGGCCGTGCAGCAGCCCTCCAGCGGGAAAGCACCCGGATCGGACGCAATCCCTGATGAGGTCTACAAGCACGGAGGTCCCCTACTGATGGATCACCTGACTGCGCTTTTCCAGGAGATGTGGCGCCAAGGTGAAGTCCCGCAAGATTTCAAGGACGCAACTATCGTGCACCTATACAAGCGCAAAGGGAATCGCCAAGTCTGCGACAATCACCGTGGAATCTCCTTGCTGAACATCGCCGGGAAGATCTTCGCTCGCATCGTGCTCAACCGCCTCACTAACCATCTGGAACAGGGCCTTCTGCCGGAAAGCCAATGCGGCTTCCGTCGTCATCGTGGGACAACGGATATGATCTTCGCCGCCCGTCAACTACAGGAGAAGTGCCAGGAGATGGGGACACACCTGTACTCTACCTTCGTGGACCTGACGAAAGCCTTCGACACGGTGAATCGTGAAGGACTGGGGGAGATCATGCAGAAATTCGGCTGTCCGTAGCGATTCACTCAGATGGTGCGTCAGCTGCACGACGGCATGATGGCGCGAGTCACGGACAACGGAGCTGTCTCAGAGGCATTCGCAGTGACCAACGGAGTGAAGCAGGGCTGTGTGCTGGCGCCTACCCTCTTCAGTCTTATGTTCTCTGCCATGCTGATGGACGCCTACCGCGACGAACGCCCTGGAATCCGCATCGCCTACAGAACGGACGGTCATCTCCTGAATCACCGGCGCATGAACTTCCAATCGCGCGTATCTACAACCACCGTGCACGAACTCCTCTTCGCCGACGACTGCGCCCTGAACACCACCTCGGAAGAGGAGATGCAACGGAGCATGGACCTATTCTCCGCCGCCTGCGAGAATTTCGGTCTGGTCATTAACACGCAGAAGACGGTGGGGATGCACCAACCTCCGCCCAACTCAGCCACAGCCCCTAACGCGCCGCAAATCAGCGTGAATGGGACCCAACTGCAAGTGGTAGAGAACTTCTTGTACCTGGGAAGTACCCTCTCCCGCAACACCAAGATTGATGACGAAATCGCCAACAGAATCTCGAAAGCCAGTCAAGCCTTCGGACGCCTCCAAAGCACAGTTTGGAATCTCCACGGTCTCCAAATGAGCACGAAGCTGAAGATGTACAAGGCCGTCATCCTGCCGATGCTGCTGTACGGAGCTGAGACATGTACGGTGTACACGAGACAGGCACGTCGACTGAACCACTTCCACCTCAGTTGTCTTCGTCGCATCCTGCGGCTGAACTGGCAGATCCGCATCCCCGACACTGATGTGCTGGAACGGACGGGAATCTTCAGCATCTATACCATACTGAGACAAATGCAGCTGCGCTGGAGCGGCCACCTGGTGCACATGGACGACGAGCAACTACCCAAACGACTCTTCTACGGAGACGTCGCGACGGGTTCTCGCCGCCAAGATGGTTAAATTCGTCGATACAAGGACACTCTGAAGTCCTCCCTGAAGCGCCTGCAAATCAACCCGACCAACTGGGAAGAGCTCGCCCGCGATCGTCAGACCTGCAGGAGGACAGTGAAGACGGGCGTTGCTATCTACGAAGCCAACCGCATCGCTGCCGCCAAATTGAAACGCGAAGCCCGCAAATCACAATTTTGCCCAGTCCGCAACGCCGACGCACAACCGCTGCCAACGTGTCCTCGATGTCAACGGACATTCCGGGCTCGAATCGGACTTGTTAGACATCTTCGGATCAACTGTACCTCTCGGACCGCAACAACCACCGTCCCTCCGCTCGACTATTTATTGTCCTCTCTTCCGCCGCCTACCTCTGATTACTCTACTGTCCCGCCATCTCTAACCTCCTGCTCCTCCTCCTCCTCCTCCTCCTCCTCCTCCTCCTCCTCCACCACCACCACCACCACTGCCCCAACGGCGGCCGCTCAGGCGGCCGTCTCGCACGTCACCAACCCCGGCAAAACAACCGACACCATTTCCACCACTGCCGACTCCAGCGATGAGGATCAGGACTACACCTGCCAACACTGCGACCGCACCTTCCCCTCACACATCGACCTGGTCGGTCACTTGCGAATCCATCGCACAGAGACTGGCGAACCAGTGCCTGGATCACTAACCTACACCCACCGCACTCGCCTCAACTGCCCACACTGCCCTCGCACATTCACGCATCGCATGGGTCTATTCGGCCACATGCGTATCCACGCGAGCGGAATTGACCGCAATCCCGATACACCAACCACGCCCGTCATGCCCAGCACCACCCTCGCACCATCCGTCTGCGCCACCACCCCCACCACCACCACTGCCTCTTCTGCAGCTGACACCGACACCGCCGACTTCTCATGCCCACACTGCCCACGCACATTCACCTCTCGCATCGGCCTGGTAGGTCACTTGCGAATCCATCGCACAGAGACTGGCGAACCAGTGCCTGGAGCACCAACCTACACCCACCAAGCTCGAATCAACTGTCCACACTGTCCTCGCACTTTCAGGCATCGTATGGGCCTATTCGGCCACATGCGCATCCACAACGACCTGCGGTAGACAACCGCCGGTCACATCACACATCCACACACTCCCTACCCTCCTCCACCATCACCATCACACATCAACACTCACCCACCGCATGCACCAACTGCCACCTTCCACGCAAGTGGGAAGTGTGCATCTCGACTCGGTCCCCATGCGGCTTCGGCTGCACGGGTGACTTCAGTACGAGACTATCCCGACACGCCAAGCGTCGTGGATAGGAAGGTTGCTGATTGACGCCCGCTCTCGGTTCACGCAGTTCGTCGCGTTGTGTGTGTGCTGTGTGGAGCGGCGGACTGGTGGGCTGGGGACGGGCTGAAGCAGCACCTTCCACGACCCTCGCACGCAAGTGTGAGATACGCCGTTCAACCCCCGTTGTGTGAAATCCTGGTGTTTGTGTGTGTATGGGGGGCCAGGTCGTGCTGTGGTGCGCGCAGGCATGGGCAATCGACCGTGTCAGCCACCGCGCCCATTCCCCACTCCAGTTTGCCGACCGGCTCGGACGGCGGCAGGGGTGTGGGAATGGGAAGGGAGAGTGAGGTCGACGACTCAGCGCACTCTCCTCACTATAAACAATCTGACGCGCTTGAAGCTATCACGGTGCGCTAAAAGCCGTGGCTTGGAAGGTTGCCAACTGACGGGGTATCTTGGACCTCCTCCTTCACTGGAGGCGGTCTGAGAGTTAGACTGCAATGCCTCCTTCTTGATGTGGTCTTTATGGCACTGCCACCACAGTGTTGGATCCGAGTCAGGCGTTGGCGGCACGCCTAGGTGCGGCTTCGGCCGGGCCAGCCTCCAATATCTGATGTGTTGGTGAAAATCCTGGTTAGTTATTGTGTGGACCAGGAATAGTGGTGGAACGCCAAGGTGAGGATCCGTCCGAGCCATCCACCTGCGGCCTCCCTCGCCTCCGGTCTTCTTGACTCTGTCTTGACACCGGGCCCAGGCGTGGGAGGAGGAGAGAGTGTAGGTAGATGCAGCGCAAGTCTACTGGCACTATAAACCCCTGCGCAAGTCACCGTCCCTGCTCCCTTCGCTGCTGCAGCTGTGGGGTACACGGTGGACATCGTCGAAATCGACCGTCGAACTGTCGTGTGTGTGTGTGTGTGTGTGTGTGTGTGTGTGTGTGTGTGTGTGTGTGTGTGTGTGTGTATAGAGGACCATGTTGCGTGTGTGACACGGGCAGACGAGCTGCTCTCAGCTCAATCGTCCACATCTCCCAGTCTCAGAATCATTTGCTTGACCAACTCGGAACAGCCTACAGGTGCATAGGATAGGGTAGAGTGAGTGAGGTCCACTCTCAGCGCACAGTTCCTCACTAAAAGAACTGTCTGACACGCTGGAGATTGACACGGTACGCTAAAGCCATGGCTTGGAAGGTTGCCAACTGGAGTTTCAACTCAGATCACGGAGACAACCCATTCGCGTGTTCATGAGTTGAGTGGCTGACGGGCGAACTGAGAGTTAGATTGATTGGTGCGGGCGCTCTCCGCTCGTTCTTACGGAACTCACTCCTTCCGTTGTGCCTTATGGGCTCTCTCTCGAGCCCAACCAGCAGCCGCCCAGCGGCGCATGATATAGGCAGGATGGCATTACCGGCAAAGACAAGAGAAACTGGAATGACCATTTCTGGTTTATTCACCGTCGTCAGCCAAACATATCGAACCACGAAGCGTGTAACACCCGAGGCTCGATCTCGCTACCTGTTAGTTAGAAGTCCACGCCTCTAACCACTGAGCCAAGAGCCCGTTGCCCCGTCGGCGTCGATCCAGTTAGATAGAGATGATTTTTTAGATGGTGTTCTCGCACACGTGTGAGATCCGAGCTGCCTTCCCTTTGTGTGAGCAACCTTGCTGGGAGCGTTTGAGGGACCAGGTCGCGCATGTGGCGTACATGGTGTACATCAACGCTAACGGTGGTCGAACTCTAGCAGAAACATATGCGCAGAAATAGAGTGTTTAGAGGCTGATTATTTCAGGTTGCCGAAAATGCGTCATATTGTGGGTTGTTCACGTTTGTTTAGATAATCTACAGAATTGGTGCATTTTCTGATTCCGAAGCGAATTAATCAGGCAAATGCAATTACTTGCTTCCGTTGGCCGATCCCTGGGAAAGGTGCGATGTGAAATAGGTAGGTCGGTGCAGCTTACGAAACCACACAGACCGCCAAGCCACATTACTGTTCACCCAGTGGAAGCAATTTATTTGTACGCCCGGCTTCTGATACGCGGGCGGCGAGACCTGAATATCTGGGACGATAGCTTCTTACTGTATCGCCGGGGGAGAGGCGTCTGCGATTGACGCCGAAGTTCCAAATCGGAGACGTATTTCATGAGGTGAGGTCACAGCCTTATCTTGGCGCAAGTTAATCCCTCACCTCCTCAAGTTGGTAGGAGATAGGTCTGGCGGAATACTGGAGGACGGCTTTGACTGTAGTTTGATATTTGTATTCCGCCGAAGCTCGCGGCTAGATTGCAAGTGCTTTGAGCGTCGACGGGCATAATGCGCGCACATTTTACTCTATCATGTACTATGTCTTGGTATTGGCTCGTCGACAATAAGAAATTAGAGATGACAAAGTATCCTGTCGACTTGCATGTCATTCCATACAGGCGGAGGGATACTGTTTGTGGCATGATGCAACCAAGTAGCAATCTGTCTTTTCCTCATTTAATTATAGTTCGAAATTACGCAAGGTACCGGCAGTTTGGTTAGGGGTGGACCAACCGCGTCAAACACTGTCGCGGAATCAAGGAAATAAGCTACCACCTTCAGATGAAAAACAGCCTCCTCCATGATCTATCGCTGAGTGAATCTGTGATCTATACTTCCTCAGTCAAGGCAAAAGCAATCTGGCTTTTATTTTGTTCCTACGTCTTAGGCGTCGTAAAATCAGTTCGGGTAAATACTCGTGACGGCCGCCTTGGTGACATAAATGCCTCTCACGCAGCCACAGCTATGGCATTCTTTTTGGTATGTTTTCACAGAAAATGAAATTGAACAGCACTTTGCCGCTCGTGTGGGACAGATCATAATGTACTACCCTCATTGTAATGCCCCTCGGACTGCTCAAATATAACATCATGACAGTTTTCGTAGACATCCGTCAGCAGATCGTCCTCCTTATATGCTCTGGATTACTGCTTCAACTTCCCAACATGCAACAATGCACATTCGCGGCTTCATGAAGGAAATTCGGCCTCGAGAGGGTGGATTATTTCTAAATTGCTGCCAAATACTGTCGATGCAGAGAACAGACTTCATTCGTGTTGCCAACAATCTTCGTATGCCTCCATTCCGCAAAAACGAACTTTCCTGGAGTTTCGGCATCCGGTAATTCGGGTTGGCCAGCCATCATCAGCCGAGCAAGTGATGTTTCTTTTAGTACTCACTGAAGTTTAGGTGCGAAAACTAAGTCCAGGCGTGTACTTTCGATCTGTTCTATGGGGTTTTAAAGAACTTGTCAGAATGTCTAACTCATTACTGGATGGTTCTGTCTGAGAATGTAAACATGACCCTCTGACAGTAGAAAATGCCCTAAGACGCAATTACAGACGTACGAGGGGTTTGTTTACAGTGGATAAATACCAGGGTTAAACAACCTGCTCTTCCATGCTCCAATTTTATGACCATCATTAATTTCTCCTCCGTAGAGAGCACCGGATCGATCTGCACCACAACAACAGGGCATTTAAACCCAACGCGACACGAACACACAAATGCAGTAAAAAGAATTTAACTAAGGTACCATTGCCACAAAAAGCAACGCATAACACACAAAGTCAATAAAAATTATACCAACAAAAAGCAAGTAGACAAAGGCAAAGGGTTTTGCAGAGTGAGGCTGAAGAAACTCAAGCATGTGGAACGATACGTAGCGGCATGAAAATGTGAAAAAATTATTTTGCTTCTGTTGCATGATTCAGTAGAAAGTACTGGATTTAGGTCTGAAAAAGAATTCCTGTTCACGAATAAATTGTTTAATTTACCGGAGCCGGTTAGTGACTCCAACAGAATCTAGAGAGAAGGCCAGTTGTAACCACTGAATCTAAAGGCTTCGTAGATCTTCCATGTCAATGCCCTCCTGACTTTCAATTGTTGGGGATACCGTTGACATGTCGCTAGCCGCGGAATCGGTTCACGGCTATTTTTCAAGTAGAGTGACGCCTAAACCGCCTTGATATTCGTTAGACATATATAGCAGGGTTTACCCATAAGGGCCTCCTGTGAAACGAGTTAAACATTTATGATACCCCACTCAATCCCCCCATCTTTTATAAATGTGGTAAGTTTAATTCCTCGAGGTACTAGCCAATCGAATAAGTCACAAGGGAACCCACCGTAAGACTGCGTGGCAGTCGCGTTCACCAATGTATACTGTTTTAAAAATGGAATATGGCGTCCAGTCTAGCTTTAAAATCTACCTGAAAATCGCTTCATGGTTCAGAATACAGCAAAAAAACGAAAATCAGGGGGATTTAAAATGGTTCTTTATGGTTTATTTTACAGAAAGCTATAAAAGGGGTGGCGATGTTGTAGAACATGAAAAAATATCCTGCAAAAGTCATCTGAAGTCGACTCTTCCCAACTGTAAGGTCTACCGCAGATGTAAGCGGATGGCCTTCATGTCGTTTTTAAGGAGCAGGTTCAGACCATTGACATGCAATCATAGTATGCTTTTATCAATGAGATTGTAGACAGTTCTTTAGACATAAACTACAGTATCCCATCAAATCAACGAGAGAAGATCGTCGCTTCGTCAGATTATGGCGATTCAAACGTTGTAGAGTTCCATCCTTAAGTGTCGAAGTAGAACGATGGTTCTCATGTTGCGCGCTAAACAGGACTGATATTTACCACTTTCTTATCCTCGACATACTATCTTGCAGTTGCCGATACAAGCGAAGATGGGAGTTCCTGGAACTAGTTGATCAGGAGAAGAAGCGATCGCTGGAACAATGGCTTTCTTCACCTGACGTTTCGGATTCCCTCTTTAATCCGTCATCAGAGACAGT